CATGGAAAGATAAGACCCTGCATGCCTGTTCCACTGGTGCATTAAGGAGGTAGCTGATATCAACAAAAGAAGACTGGACTGAAGGACAGCAGAGAGGTAACACTAGTCATGGCAGCATACGAGCAGTAGAGGCTGAGGTCTGCCATACCAGACAGGGCCCAAGATGCAAGCTGTGCAAAGATGCCCTTGAAACAGTAGTGATGGCTGAAAGAGGAAATGAAAAAGCTGTGGAGAGTCAATGCCTGGTCATTGCAGTATTTTGTGCTGTGATAATTTTATAGTGAACTGTTTTCAGCTATTTGAATTTTCACTGTGTTTTTTCAACTTGGTTTTAAAAACCAATCATTAGAAACCTGTTAAAAAAAGTAATTTGTAAACAAATTCCAGTGACTGTTCTGATATTCTGAGATAGCTTGAGAAAAGTTATTTTCATTTTTCTGAGTGAGTCATTTGACATACGAAATCTGAAAATGATGACAAATGTAAACTTTTAAAAATGTTTCGGGGACATTGTTGGCCATTGATTTTGGCCCCTTGTGAAAATGAATTTGACCCTCCTAAGATCAAAGGTCATACAGCTTTACTGAGATGTTAGGTCATGTATAGTTGTAGAACATGTCTAGCATCTGAAGAGACTGGAGAAATCTGAGGAGAGAAGCCAGTTAAGTCAGGAAAGTTTGTCTAAACTTTTTTCCTTCAAAGTACTGTTACATCTCGCCCCATTCTTGTGAGATGAGTATTGTTGCACCACTAGTTCTGTGAGAGTATGAAGAGCAGGGCGGTTAAAACACCTGATTATACTTTCAAATATAATGTGTGCCATAAAAAAAGCTCTTAATACCCAAATATTACCACTGTGACACACAACAACACACAGTAAACATATATTAGGCTGCGTGCAGCACAGATAACAGTGGTTTAAAGTCCACGTGCTGTGGAATCAGCAGTTCAGTCTGAGAAAAACACCAACAGATGCTGTGTGTGTCTGTGTCCACAGTTGTGTAATCATCCTTCTTTTCTCCAAGGTTGTAGGTTTAAATCTCCCTTGGCTCAGAGTGTTTGTGTATTAAGTGTAAAACTGTTTTGTTCTTAAACAAACTTATATTTCTCTTTAGGATCATACAGAATTAAAAAATGAACGTTATCATCTTGTGCTGTATGCTAATATTTTGTTCTTATTTCTGAGCGGTTAGAGCAGTCATCCTCCAGTGAGAGAGTTGGGGGTTCGATTCCGTTAGCAGTGACATGTTGAAGTGTCTCTGGGCAAGACACTCAACCCCTCATTGCCTCCGATGTGTGTCCCATCGGTGTATGAATGTGTGTGTGGAGGTAAATGGGGGCACAGATTGATTGCAGTGTAAAGCACTTTGAGTATCTTGATTAGATAGAAAAGTGCTAAATAAATACAGTCCACTTACAATTTTATGAGATTTGAATTAGTTTCCAACTTAAAACTTCTCAAATCTATGTATCCATGATATGAAATTATTGTATAATAATGTTAAGTGAAATATCTTTGTACTCATTCAGTAATCAGGAACAGGAAAAGGCCAGTTTACCAGTGGTGGAATAATATTTTCTCCCAAACAGATAAAGTAAAAGGTCTGCCCTTAAAACATCCATCCATCCATTTTCTTTACCCGCTTTTTCCATTTTGGGTCACGGGGGTCGCTGGTGCCCATGTCCAGCAATCACTGTGCGAGGGGCGGGGTACACCCTGGACGGGTCGCAAGTCCATCACAGGGCCACATAGAGACAAACGAGACAAACAAACATTCACTCTCTCACTCACACCTAGGGACAATTTAGAGTTACCAATCAGCCTAACATGCATGTTTTTGGTCTGTGGGAGGAAACCGGAGTACCCGGAGAAAACCCACGCATGCACGGAGAGAACATGCAAACTCCACCCAGAAAGGCCCCTGGACCGGGGTTTGAACCAAGGACCTGCTCGCTGAGAGGCAGCAGCTCTACCAGTTGCGCCACCGTGCTGCCCCCTTAAAACATGCTAATGTTTAATATTACCCAACCCTAAACAAATAGTACTTGCTACTTTAAAGGCAGAAATCTAGGGAGAGGTTGGGAATCACTTCAGTTTTGTAAAAACTGATAGAAAAGTTTTAATCTAAGCCAAATTCAAAATATCTCTAATATGGTTTTAAACAATCTTTGGAAAATTACAACCATATTTTTTAAATATTGATACTTACTCATGAATATTTGCCCTGCATAGTGAACACAAGAAAGAAAAAGTGAACACATTATTTTTTAGAGGTTTCTGTACTGTAGTTAAATTATACCATGGCAACACTGGAAGTCTCTGAGTGTGGTCACTCTGAGTCCCTGTGGTTGTAAAAAAAAAAAAAAAAAATCCTTTTGGACTTTAGTATTGTGAAAGACTGCATGTATATCACTGCATATTTACTGACTGCAAAGTGAACGTTTGTAGTTTTAACATGAGGGTTTTCTGGACAGGAATTGAAATGGGAATGCAAGTAAACTTTAATATTTTTGGTGTCTGATCCTGGCAAGTGGAGGGAGCAATTTTATCCACCACCAGGTGCAAAGCCAGAGCTAAGGGGTGGCCAGGGGTGGCCAAGTCTGGTGGGACAATTTCATATTTTCAAATATTCTCCATGTGCACAACCATAAGTTTGAACAGGGCATGGAATATAGTTCGAATGTGAGCCAAGTTGTGTGTGTGTGTGTGTGTGTTTGTAAATAATGGTGGTGTCAGAGTTATGTAACAGCTGTGATGTCACCAAGCTGAGCTCCTTGGCCTGCTTTTCATTATGAGCTCTGATGCCATCGAGTCAATGAAAACGCACAATATGACCTTCAACACGCACACACAGCCATATGTTCACATGACTGAACTAGGATTTTGATATATAAATTATACACTTGCACACAACTAGCATTTTAGAAAATATAAATTTCCCGCCCTGTTCAAACTTATGGTTGTGCACATGGAGAATATTTGAAAATA